GGGCAGGTTCACAGAGGCCACATTTGAGCAGAGCCCTGCAGGGGTGAAGGAGGGAGCCATGCAGACATCTGGGAGAAGAGCCTTCCAGAAAGAAGTCAGAAGGAACAAAAGGGCAAAGGGGAAGGGTGCCCGTGGCTCAAGGAACAAGGAGGTGAGTGTGGCTGGGGCAGAACCAGAGAGGAGTCAACAGTATAAGCTGAGTCTAGTCAGGTGACAGGGTGCCCACACACAGTCTCTTGGTCACTGTGAGCTCCAGGGCTCTTGCCCTGAGGGACAGTGAAAGCCACCAAAAGTCACGTGATGTGGCAAAGGACCCCACTTGTTTGCTGTTTTCTCCTCAGTTGATTATCAATAAGTTGGGAGACATTTAGGTGTTCATTCATTCATTCACTCGCTCACCCATTCATTCCTTTATTCAGCAAATGCCTGCTCAATACCTACTATATGCCAGGTGCTGGGAGCTCAAAAATGAGGAGCCCACCATCTAGTGGAAAAGGAAGAGAAGTAAATACAGATGTCAGAGCCGTGTGATATAAAAACTCCACAAACAGCCTCAAGTGCCCTCACCCCCTCCAGAAAGGGCAGCAGTGGTGGTTCCAAGTGGCTCCAAGCCCAGGATCTCAGGCTGATCCAGATATAGCTTCTCATGGTCCCACAGCCTAGAGCCACAGGGTGCATTAACCCCTCGCATGCCTATGTGCTAAGTAAGCACCATGGATGGGAAAAGGGGATGGAAGCAGCACACTTCCCCTTTCAGACAGCGGAGAAGGGGAACAGCATTTACTGGTACCCAGTCCGTGGGCCAGAGCCATTTCCAGACTCCTGCTCCAGCTTGGGTTGGGGTGGGGTGACCCTCCACAAGTAGTTCTCCAGCTACCTGTGCTCTGAGGTTGGAGGTAGGGCTGCTGTGGCTCAGTTGGTTAAGCATCATTCCATGCACTGAAAGGTTGCTGGTTCAATTCCCAGTCTTGCTGGCTTGAGCCCCAGTAGGGGGTGTGCAGGAGGCAGCTGATCAATGATTCTCTCATCAATGTTTCTTTCTCTCCCTCTCTCTCTCTAAAAAAAAAAAAATCAATAAAAACATATTTTAAAAAAATAGTAACGTTGGAGGTGGGTGTTTCTTCATGATCCTCCATGGCCAGCCTTACATGGGATTGGGGAGGAAAGGGGGCCGGTTTCCTAGATTCCTCTTCTGGGGGCCACACTGCTTTGTGTTTATTTCTGTCTTCATAGCCTCTTGCACAGTGACTGCATATACTAGGCTTTCGGTAACTATGTGTTAATACCAGTGGGATGCCCCTAGGATACTGCCTGTGGACACCCAGGACAGGGCTCTAAATCAGGCTGTGGAGCATGGGGAGGGCATCAGGGCCCCTGGATTTGTGGCTTGGAGGACCCAAAGGATGGGACCGCAGCAGGCCGTGCAGGAGAGGCAGCTGCTTTGGAGATCAGTGAGGAATTCATTTTGAGGTGTTGAGTTAGCAGTACCCAGGGGACATTCAAAGGCCTGGAAGTCTCCAGATCAAAGAACAGGGCCAACGGGAAAGGAGAGTTGGCGAGCTGGAAGGAAACAAGCGGTGGCGTGGGCATGTGAACTGGAGCTAGATGTCCGAGGAAGAGGAGCACTGGGCGGTGACTGGCGTGAGGCCAGGGAGGCGCTGGATGGAGAGGAAGTGACAGCCCTGCCGAGGTCACCTCTCACCCTTCCTCGGTATTCCCTCCACTTGGCAGACACAGGGCCAAGCGAAGTTTCAGCTCCAAACCCCAGGGACTGCTGGGTCAAGGAAAGCAGGGCTAAGGCCTCTGGGAGGGGGTGGGCCTGGTGTTTGCATGGCACCCTTCTTCACAGCTGTCTCACAGGAGGGTTGGACCACTGGGGGCTCTGGGTCTGCGGGCGGGAGCAGCAGGGTTTCCTGACGGCATCTTTGAGGGCGTCTAGCTTAGTTTTAAGGCCCGAGAGGAACTTCTCTCGAGAGCCGTGGCCTGAGCAGCCGCTCTTCCACAGCATTCCCTGTGGCCCCTAGGAAGCTGTGGACGAGGTGCAGGAGGATAGCAGGCCGTGGGTGGAGCACCCGTCTCAGAAGTATTCCTTCCACTTCCTGATGCACGAATGGTGCTCAGCGGACCTTGGTTGAACGAATGGGTGGATGAATGAGTGAGTGAATTCAAGCACTTGTAAGCAAATGAATGGGTGCTCCAGTGCCTGGGAACCCCCAGGAGCTTGCCCCAGTGGCTGGAGGATGGTGGCTCTCTGTCAGTGTTTATTGGGTGATGGGTGAGTGTGAAAAGAGGGCTCGGAGGTTTTCTGAGCCCACAGGGTGACCATCAGTCCTGAATGAATAAATGTTATTTCCCACATTCAACTTGAAGGATAATTAAGTGGCATCCTCTCCCTGTGGGAGCCTCTGCAGTTGTTCTTGTAGAACTCCTCCACCATCAACTGGAGGTGCTTTCCATCTCCCTGACCCTGAGGGGGAAGGAAGGAAGAAGGGGACAGAGGTAGCATCCATTCTTTTCCTGGGTGGGAAGGGCACAGAGGATCTCTCTCATTCTCACTCTCAAGTTGGACAGTTTAGTCCTCCCAGCAATCCTGGGTTCATATCAGAACATTCTCTCTTCCTCCTTCCTTTCCTCCATCAGTCTCTCCTGAAATGGCTCTGCTGTACCTGTCCAGCCCTTGGCGTAGCACCAACTCAGAATATCACAGTGCGACAGGTGTGGCCATTGTCACACCCTGAGCATGCATGTGTAGCCTGGGCTGGCTGGGCCAGTGGCCGCAGGAAGAAATCTCCCTCCTGGCTCTGACCTCAGGGAGCTCAGGGACTGGCTTTTAGGATGGGATGCAACTGGGGGCGGGAACACTACAGAGTGGCGCCCTTCAGGGGGAGCAACGCTCCCTGGAGCTTTCCGACTCGTGAGGTTGGGAGCTGGGCTCTCGGGAACATGGAGGCCCTGGGCTGCTGGTGGATGTTCCCCAGCCTCGCCCAATACATTGGTTTCCTGTCCCACAGGCCCAGCTGCCTTGCTGGGACCATCTCTCTAGGGACCAGGCCTGGGACAGAGTCCTCCTGCAGGGGTTTGTGCATGAACTATTCTCATCCGACTTCCTGCTGCCTCTGCGTGCCCCTAGCTCCAGCCCAAGGGTTTGAAGGGTTTCACAGGCAGCTGAAGGGTTGGAGTCAGAAGGCGCTCACAGCTGATGATATTTCAAGGCATGCTGGGAATGCCTGGCCAGCAGTTTGGCTCAAATAATGAGATGTCAGGATTCATCCATTCATCTCAGATGTGTTCTTCCCCAGTGTCTTTCATGGGGGGACTTTGGGAGCACAGAGGAGGGTGTGGCTGAGAGGAGGGAGTCTGGGCCATGGCATCTGTCATCTATCACTGCCCCGCACTTAGCACCGTGGACCCAGTAGGTCTGATGTGAGGCTGTTTCAGCAGCAAGTGCAAGTCCCTGAGAAGATGCATCATTGTCTGTGCACTTGACTCCCAGCAGTTCTGGCATTAGCCTGTGAGAGCCTGCTTGTCCTCACAGGTAGTTCTCTGTGTAGCAGCTTGTCGAAGCCCTGGGTTTTACTGATCGTACCCAGCCCAGTGTCAGGACCAAGTTCACCCCTAAGAGACTGTCAATCTGCTGGTAGCTTGGCAACCTCCAATCTCCTTGGCGATTTCCTCAGGACACCACATCTTGGGGGTCGGGTGTGCTCCAGAGTCACTCTCTCCATATCCTGCATACAGAAGTGGTCAAGAGTATGGGTTTCAGGCCCTAGATGGTTTGGCTCAGTGGATAAAGCGTCAGCCTGTGGACCCAATGGTCCTGGGTTCAAGTCCAGTCAAGGGCACATACCTAGGTTGCAGGCTCATCCCTGGCCCAGGTCCTGGTCTGGGCTCGTGCAGGAGGCAACCAATCGATATGTTTCTCTCACATCAATATTTCTCTGTCTTTCCCTTTCTCTAATAATCAATAGAAAAATATCCTTGGGTGAAGATAAACAAACAAACAAAAGAGTATGGTTTTCAGCCCTGGCTGGGTAGCTCAGTTGGTTAGAGCATCATCCTGATATACTAAGCTTGTGGGTTCAATTCCTAATCAGGACACATGCAAGAATCAACCAGTGAATGCATAAAAAAGTAGAATAACCAATCAATGTCTTTGTCTCTCTCTCCCCCTTATTTCCCTCCTAAAAAAAAAAAAAGAAAAAGAAAAAGAAAAAAAGAGTATGGGTTTCAGACTTAAAACTACTAGTTGGAATCAAGAACCTGTGACTTACTAGGTCTGACCTTGATCTTTTTTTTTTATCTTCACCCAAGGATATGTTTTATTTTAAAGAGAGTGGAAGGAGGAGGGAGTAAGAGAGAGAAAAAAAATTGATGTGAAAGAGAAACATTGATCGGTTGCCTCCTGCAGGTACTCCGACTGGGGATCGGACACAAAACCTGTGTATGTGCCCTGACTGGGAATTGAACCCACAGGAAGGAGGAGGGAGCAAGAGAGAGAAAAAAAATTGATGTGAAAGAGAAACATCGATCGGTTGCCTCCTGCAGGTACTCCACTGGGGATCGGACACAAAACCTGTGTATGCGCCCTGACTGGGAATTGAACCCACAACCCTTTGGTGCATGGGGTGATGCTCCAACCAACTGAGCCACACCAGCCAGAGCAGTCTTTTTTAAAAATGGCCTTTACGTTTTTTAAAGAGCAGTTTTAGTTATTGTTTTTTTTTAAGAAGTTTTAGGTTTGCAAGATTGAGCAGGAAGTACAAAGAGTTCCCATATATTCCCTGCCCCACACACATGCAAATACGTTTTTGACTTCTTGAACCTCAGTCTCCTCATCTGTACAGTGGGGGCGGGGGGCGGGGGGACTGATGATCTCCTGCTCACGGAGTTGGGGTCAGGGACAAATGAGGTCTTGCTGTTGGCTCCCGCCTGGCAGTCAGTGGACCTTGCACAGTGGCTACTTTGTCCTGGGGCCCCTCTGATGCTGACCTTTGTCTCAGGTGACAGGAACACCCTCCAGAGGCTTTGATGAGAAGACGTATCTGGCAGCCAAGCAGCTGAAGCCTGGAGAGGACCCCTACAGGCAGCACGCCTTCAACCAGCTGGAGAGCGACAAGCTGACCTCAGACCGACCCATCCGGGACACCCGTCACTACAGGTGTGGCCTCCATGGTGCCGACGGAGAAAGGAAGGTGGAGGGAAGGGCCAACCCCAGTTAGCTTGTTTTTCTTCAGCTACATGGACTTAAGAAATGAGGGAGATTGCCTCAGACTCAGTCTACTTACTGAGACTTCAAACCCTCCCCCTCAGCTATGGACCTGACTCCCGTGGCCCCAAGGAGACCTTCCCAGCTGGGACCAGGGAGGCCCCTCAGCACCTCAGTCTGAAGTCCCAATGAGAGTGACCTGCCAGGGGACCACCCCCAGGTGTTCCTGGTGCCCTGCTGGGGGTGGCCCAGGTGAAGACGGGCCACAGCCCTGCCACACTGCAAACCGTGGAGTGCTGTGCATGGCCCACGGCATCCCTTTCCTTCCTCTCTTCCCGCTCCTCTGCCCTCACTTCCTTAAAACTCCCAGAAAAGCTTCCCAGTTTTGTTCTTAGTTCTCGCAGGGTGGCAATTGGGACCAAGGGCACCTCCCACGTTAAATCCCAGCTCCGACTCCACCCAGTGTGACGGACCTTGGGCAGGTCAGCCCCCTCCTTGGTTCCACTCCCAGAAAAGCTTCCCAGTCTTGTTCTTAGTTCTCGCAGGGTAGCAATTGGGAGAGACTGTAGACAGGACCAAGGGCACCTCCCACGTTAAATCCCAGCTCCGACTCCGCCCAGTGTGAGTGACGGACCTTGGGCAGGTCAGCCCCCTCCTTGGTTCAGGCCCTGTGTCCTGTCTAGTTTACATGAGTCGCCACCTCCGGTCTCTCCTCTTCCTGCCCTCACCTACGCGAACAGTCTGAGCTCCTTACCCAGACGTGGGAGCCGCCCCCTCTCCCCTCGGAGCCTCTGCTCCTTTCACTTATGCTCCCCCATCCTATGCTTCTCCCACCGCCCTCCTCGTCTTTATACTCTGTTTCCTGAACCCCGCTCCACGCACACATACCTTCGTGATTCCCCTCAGTGTCACTTCACCCTCCTCGCCTTTATACTCTGTTTCCTCTCCTGAACCCCCCTCCACGCACACATACCTTCGTGATTCCCCTCAGTGTCCTCTCTCCGGGGAGGGTTCCTTGCCAAGCCAGGCTGGTAAGGGGGCCTTCTCTGCTCTCCGTGCAGACACCAGGCAGAACAGCAAGGGGCTGTCGTAGCTGACCCACCCATGTGCTTGCAGCTTTGGATGGCTATAGGGCCGTGTTGGACCCAGCTATGCACCCAGCCCTGGTTTGAGGGTGAGCGAGCACCCAGCGCCAGGCTGGTCCTGTTTGAGGGTGGGAGAGAAAACTCAGGTCAGTTGCTCTGCGGAAGCAGCTATAAAAGATGCGTGTGAGATAAGGGGACCTGCCTTGTCGCTCATGGAGGTGTGCCTGAAGCCCAGTGGGCTGGGCAGCCTGTGCAAGGTGAGATGAATGCGGAGTTGGGGGAGCCCCAGACTATCCTCCCTGTCCTTAACCCCAGCCAGGCTTGTCGGCCTCCAGAAACAATTCATGCTACCAAACAGGGCAGTAGTCCACTCCTCAGGAAGGCCCCTGCCCAGGTCTAACGGCTAGCACAGGCCCTGGGAATTCTCAGTCCTGGGCAGTCTCTCCTTTTCTCCACCAGCCTGCAAGGTTATGTCCATGCAACTCCACTCAGAGGCCTTTTATGGGCAACCCTGACCATGGCCAACCTAGACCCCAGGCCTGGAGGTTCTGCTGACCCAAATCTGTGAATTGAGAGGCTGCCCGAGTCACTACTGCCCTCCCTCCCACCCACCCTCACTCTGAACCTCTCGGTGTTCACTAAAGAACTTACATGAGAAATTCCTCTTGGGGATACACACATTTTAAAATGAGACTCTTCAAATCCAAGGTAGTGGTGGGTTGGTGAATTTCACCTGCCTCTCTTCCCACCCCCCCCCCCCCCCCCCC